AGGAAGGGTGAGATTTTAGCTCTGAGCTCTGACCTCTCGGCTTTCTCTTTTACATTGTTTCTGTGTTTCTTATTTAATAAGACGGTTGGTTACATCTACACACTCAAAGCAGACAGATCTTGTCTTGAAGTTCAGTTCTGCAGTTTATTCTGTGAGAACTATGAGAAAGCACTTAGCCTGTCCACTCAACCGTCATTATACAACAGCCCTCCTGATAGTGCACGCCTTTAATCCCAGCACTTGGGAGGCAGGGGCAGGCAGATCTCTGTGAGTTCAATGTCAGCATGGTCTACAGAGTGAGTTCCAGGACATCCAGGGCTACACAGAGAAACCCTGTCTCGAAAAACTACATAAATAAATAATAAAAATAAAACAGCACTACTGATAGAACCTGCCATGGAGTTTTATGAAGAGTAGATAAGAGACGATAAAGTCCCTGGTTGTGTGGCTGACACAGAGGATGTATTCAGCAAACGCACGTTGTTATTCCCAGTAAGAGGTACTTTCTGTTCTAACTGCATTTCCTTAGCACAAGCTACTCCAGGTTTGTGGTTTCTGCTCCTCAGCTCCTGACTCTCTGTCTCTGTTTCTCTCCTGGAATGGGACAGATTGCAGAGATCTACATCTTATCCCAGCCGTTCATGCTGCAGATCATGGCCACAGGGCCTCCTGTGATCAACTTACACCCAAACAATTTCAGCCTGGAGTTCCCAGCTGCTGTCGCCATGCTCACTCAACGGGAGAACTCCACCATCGAGCACATTGTCTCCATGGACTTTGTGAGTCTGGGGATACAGGGGAGCAGCCTCTGGGCACCAAGTCCATTCCTGCTGGGAATCACTGGCCAGCAGCCTCTAGATGTTTGGAGTGAAGGGTGATTCCTAAATTAAGAGTAGACACTGGGGCTGTCTAAAACAGACCCACCTGCCCATATGTGGAAGTGGCCATATATGGAGACAGAAGAGCTCATGACCCTGTGTGTAAAATATTTCACCAATTTCTACTTCCCATGCTCTCTTCCATTTACATTAGAGAGCTGGAATCAAGTCAATTTCCCCCGATCAATTAAAGTTAAAAACAGTACAATGAAGTCAAACAAAATCACACACATGATCAGGGGAAGCAAAGCTCAAGAGGGGCTGGGGCTATGGTCAGTGGCAGACTGCTGGCCCAGCATGCATAAGACTAGGTTTAATTCACAGCACTGCCAGAAAACTAATTTACAAGAAGCATTCAAGCAAGAAATCTTTACACTTAGCATCTTTCCCTACAAGACAGTTTTCTCTCCATGTGGCCCACGCTGGCCTTGAACTCTCATTCCTCTTCCTTCTTCAACCTTCCAAGTGCTAGAATATGCTCACAGGCTGCTGGCCCAGAGGTAGAGATGTTTCTTGCCAACATCTTTTGAATAAGAGGGAACACTGGGCTTGTGATGTCTTCGTTATACTCCTAGAGTGGAGCTGTTACACTTGTGGTCCAGATGGACAGCCACTCACTGCAGTAACAAGGTTTTTTTTAATCTTCAGATTGCTAGTACCAGTGTTGGCCTGGCTATTTTGGGACAAAAACTGATCTGCTCCTTGTCTCTGAACAGGTAAGATCAATGGATTTGACTGTTGGAAACCTTGAGAATGAATGAGTGAGCATTCCCCAAAGACAAAGTGACCATTGAGAAAACAAATGCTTTACCACTGTGGGGCTGTGATTCAGCTTGGTACTCTGCCTCTAACAGAACAAATTATTTCAAAGGTTGAACTCAGTAAAGGAAAATTGTCTTCTGTGTTTCTCCTTCTTCTGATGAGAACAAGAGTAAGATAAACTAGGAAGAAGGTCACTGTGAAGATAATTCCACCAGCACCCATTCCAGTGATGACCACAGTTCCTCTTGGTGACTCAAGGAAGAGTATGTAGAATGGGGGTGTTGTGAGAAGAGGGGTGCACAGGGATATTCAGGTGCGGTGCACATCTTTAGAGATTACGGGATCAGGTTTCAAATCCCTTCTCATTGGCCTTATGGCCACGGTCAAGTCTTGTCTTAGTTAGGGCTACTATTGCTGTGATGAAACACCATGACCAAAAGCAACTTGGGGAGGAAAGGGTTCATTTGGCTTCCATATCCTAAGTTACAGTCCACTGAGGGAAACCAAGGCAGGAACTCAAACTGGGCAGGAACCACAGAGGGGTGCTGCTTACTGGCTTGCTCCTCATGGCTTGCTCAGCCTGCTTTCTTATAGAACCCAGGACCACCAGATACGTTGCTACCACCCAAAATGGGCTGGGCCCTCCTACATCAATCACTAAGAAAATACTCTACACATTTGCCTACAACCTGATCTTACAGAAGTCTCCTCTTCTCAGCTTCTTCTAGCTTGTGTCAAGTTGACATAAAACTAGCCAGTACAAGTCTATTAACCATTTCCACTTCAAGTCTCAGTTTCCTGATGTGTAAGATAGTAGAATTGGACTGATCCAGCACCCTCAGACTCTGACAACTGGGTCCTATAACTAGAAGACAGAATTTAACAAGATCTTGTCCATGACCTAGCTAGTCTCAGAGGAGGCGATAAGGTGTGAAGGGACATGAACAGTTCCCATGTACAGGTCACTAAACACCATCTTCAAAGTCCACTGTCACTGAAGGGGGTGGGTTTACAGATGAACTGGCCAAGACTAAACTCGTGGAAGAAGAGGAGGCAATAGAAGCAGTCAGAAAAGAACTGAGAAACTGCCGGGCAGTGGAGGGCACTCTAGAGGCAGAGGCAGGTGGATCTTTGTGAGTTTGAGGCCAGCCTGGTCTACAGAGTGAGATCCAGGAAAGGCACAAAGCTACACAGAGAAACCCTGTCTTGAAACCCCCACCCAAAAAAAGTGTCTTGGTTGTGGTGTCTCTTCACAGCAATAGAACAGTGACTAAGACAGCATTTAAAATGTGTGG